TTTTGTGTCTCTTTAGAACCTGAAGGATGGCAGGGTATCAGCAACATTTGTTGAAGTGAAGGTAAGGTTGACTAAGGAACACAGAAAGGGCAGCATGAAAACTTGGAAGACCCAGAGTCCCTTTGGGGTCTAGCCTAAGGTATTGTTGTCTCCCACCCCCCACATGACAGACTTCACTGGACAAGAAGTATTTGCCAGATGGTTGTGATTTCCATTTCAACCCCATAGATAAAAAACTTAAGGCATGGAAAAAAACTGAATTTTTTTAGTTGTGAATGAGGGTGGGGTGGGGTGCACATTTGGAGTGAAAAAATTAGCACTTACTGTCTGTTCAGACAAGGACGATCTTGCCAGGAAGAGTGCCCCTGAAGGCTGTGTGCTGCCACAGGGTGGGGGAGGGGCGTTGGGCAATCATTTAGTTCAATACACTGATTTTACAAATGAAAGGACTGTTGGGTGCTGGAGTCCCACTGCTTTGTCAGCACTTTCATCTGCAAAGTGGGTCTTTGGTAAGAAAAAGTTCTCATCTGTTTCATAAAAGGAGCTCTCAGAGATAAAGAGAGATCGTCCCAGACTTGGGGGGGGGGGAGGAAGGGGGTCACTAAGGCCAGAGGATCAAGAGTTCAAGGCCAGCCTGGGTTACACAGTGAGATTCTGTCTAAATAAACAAATAGCAATAGAAACTATGAGGTGGAGGAAAGAAGCGATGATGCTGGCTCTGAGCATGAACAATTCTCCAGCTACTCACACGCTTTCCACATGCCTTCTCATCAGAAGGAATGTCAGGTGCCCCAAACAGTATTGCAAACATCATTTATGTGGGAGGGGTGGCCTTCTTTGGTAATTGCACACTTACTGTGTAAATCTGTGCAATTATTTAATCTTTAAGTTGTTTTTATCTTGGAAATGGTAGAGATAGCAATGCACACCCAGATATTAAAGAAACAAGGACTCTCCACATAGTCTCTGGCACTTACTTGGGACTCAGGAAGTAAAGGTTTCTGTTCTTACCTGGTCCAGGTTCTTTTTCTGACTATGGGACCATTCTGTGTAACTGCTGATGTAATCATTCTCAAAGGGGATAATTCTATCATTCCATCAGCAGATGTAGTCAGCTTTACTGTCTGCTATTGCTAACTTGGTTTGGACGCCCCCCCCCCCCGAAAAACATACTTGCTCCCTGGGGAGACTGCACTGTGAACAAAAAGCAGACAGACAAAAAACAAAACAGTTCGTGACACGCTGTGGTGACAGAATGGGGGTGGTGGGAGGGGAAGAATTGTAAGTTGGGTTGGGTAAGTGATGGAGGGCTGCCCTGAGAAGGCTCTGGCTTCACTGGGAGGGGTGTGAAGGGAGGGGGAGCAGGTGGAAGAGGATGAGGTGGTGGAGAACACAAAGTGAGGAGATGCATTGTGTATAATAAGGGGCTATTTTGGAACTGCTGGAACAATTTTAAAAAAAATAAAAGAACTGAAGAGAGGACAGGTGACTCTGACCTGCAATGTGGAGTCCAGCAAGGACATTTGAACAGGAAGGTGATATGAAAAGAATGGATGGGAAAATGTGCAGACACTGTCCTCACCAGAATCCCTAGTGGTGAAGTGAGCTAACTAGAACCTGATACCCAGCCCAGCCCATCCCATCCCACTCTCATTTGGGAATTGGTACAGGAGATTGAACACAGCAGGATCATGCACACATAGACTCTACCTGATATAGTCTATTCTCATCATTCTTGTAGTCAGTCATTTAACAGTCAGGGAAAGCCTGCTGTGTACAGAGGGCGGGCTGTATTCCAAGAACTAGGAATCAGGCAACACAAAAGGACTGGCAAGGTCTGTTTTCTCAAGAAGGGGGAGGGTTACAGATAGACCAGCAAGGACATCCAGATAAAGGCCTAGGAAAATGATGGAGAGTTCTCAGGTGGCTGCCCTTTCCCAGTTTAACAATGTTTCCTCGTCTCTAGTAGTCTGACTTTGATTTTCCAAGGAGGCTTTGCTTCTAGGAAGATTACAACAGTAAATAATTAAACCAGTATGTTTTGTATTTCTAGGGAGCCTTGCCTGAGCAGATAGTTTCCCCCAGGATCTAATCAGTCTTGATAATTGCTACTTGAGGGCCACAGCTTCACAATGTCACAGATCTAATGTTTTAGGAAGGTCTCAGACCTTTTACTGACCATGGTTTCTATGTAACTAGAGCCTCCCCTTCCCTCTCTTCCCAGTGCATATGCACTCTTTATAGATAAAGCACTGGTGAAACTGCATGGCTCAGCTGTGCAATATGCACACCTTAAAATCAGGCTTGCCTCTTCTGATGGGTTTTAAACTGAAACCCTGCTTTGAATGCACCTTTTCAGGCAGCTGGGCATTGCATCTTGGCAGCTGCCAAGCATAGCAGAGCAGGGGTGGGGGTGGGCATGAGGGGAGCTGGAGATTGGCACATCACCTTCAGGGGTGCTGGTATGTAAGCCTTTGGTGTTCTTTGGTGCCAAAGGGATGCCAGCCAAGAAGAAGAAGCGAACATTGTATTAAAAGCAGCTGCAGAAGCCAAGGGCTTGAAAAGGCTGATTTCCCAGTGTGCCCTGTGGTCTTCCCGCATTTGACATATTTACCTCACTGTGGTTTTGTTTTAGTTTTCTGTGATAACTTTCAAAGACACAGGAAAATCCAGTTTCAGGGTTATTAGTGAAAACCCCTCTGCCCAGTTTCTTTTGATTATCTATTAGAATCTGTCCTGTGAGGGACAACTGCCATCAGGGGCAACTAAATTAGGGCTTCAGTTCCAAGAGTTTCGTTTTTTTCATTCTGATGGAAACAGTAATAAAAATTGTAACATTGTTTCTTTAGTAGTTTACACCTTATAAATACTTTTCACATTCCTTTGAAAATTAAAAACTCAGAACTGAATGCTAATTTAGTTGTCTTCTCTGAGATTCATGATATCTACTGGACACCACTCTGATTGAGTTCTCTTCTTAAGCTCCCCTCTTCCTGGATCTTGCAGATCTATCCCTTCCTCGTTTATCCACCGAAACTTAGGTATTGGACACCCTCCAGGTTCTACATATTTTGTTAGAAATAAAGCAGGAAACCAGACAGACTTGTTTGCTACCCTTATGGACCTCCAAGGGGAAGACAGACATTAAACAAATAATTACATACAAGAAGCATGTTTTTAAAAGGCACTGTGGGGGCAGTCAAGGGCATGACATCCTGGGAGGTAACCTGGAGCTGGGGCAGGGTTAGGAAAGGCTTCTGGTAAGAAGGTAGGAAGTCATGTTTAAACTGAGGTCTAGGGGATTAGAAAACAATTTTTCAGAGGTTGAAAAGAATGTGCCATTACATACTAGTATGAATGACAGCATGGGAAAGGCATATGCTCCATACCAACTGAGGGTCTGTGAATGCTGAATGAGGGTGAGTGTCCAGAAGGACACAGAGAATGTTGCTTGAGCCAGACTTTTCAGATAAATAGGTGGAGACTGAATAGGGATCAGATATTGTTTATTCTCCTCTCTTCCCAAGGAAGCAGCTTTTACCTGCTATTAAAAAAAAAGAAAAACAAACTTTTATCAGTTAATTACTACAGGGTAGGAATTCGCACAGATAAGTACTGTTTTTCCAGTGGACAGGAGAGCAGAAAGTCTTGAAAGGACTAACTCAGGTTTGTCATCATATAGCCAGCAGAGCTAGCCTCTCAATACTTACATGAGGCAACTCATTTTCCACACCTCCTCCTGGTCAAAGCCTGCAAGCTTTGTTTTTAACAGCAATATTATACAGCCTGGGAAAGTGGTAAAGGAGTTTTGACTGAGGAATCTGAAATACATACACTGTGGACAGAATGCCCTAGGAAAATGGATACCATCAGGCAGTAGGGAGGGGTATGAAGAGGCTTTAAAGGGTCTTAGAGGTGTGTACTTAGGGGAGGTGCCCTGAGCTAACTAACAACTATCTGGCCCAGCCGGTTAATAATTTCCTGACCTTTTTCCTGCCTGAAGGGTTACCACATTGGTCTTCCCTCTCCTTTGCTTACCTCCTGCCACATGGCTCCTTCACCAGGTAAAACAAAACAAACAAACAACAACAAAAAACTAACCCCAACTTTAGAGAACTGGTTTGTCAAAGCCCCAGGCATCCTCAGGGACCAGACAGTGAGGTAGCAGACTTTCTCCCTCTAGAAGCTTGGCCTCTCTTCTCCATCTCTTTCTAAAGAGAGATCCAGAGCTGGGGTTCAATCCCTCTAGAGTAGATCATACTCTCCGTTTTACTGTAGCAGCAGCTTGGGAGGGTGTTTTGAGGTTTAAAGAAGATTTGGGACTCGAAGTGCCTGACTGGGAGACTACTGTGGGAGTCTAACAAATGTTACTCTCTCTCTCTCTAATCACTTGGTAACCCGGACCTTGTTCAGCAAACCAGATCGTTATTTCATTCAGCTTCGAGGGGTACAGGTGTGAAAAGTCCCACAATAGGCAGGAGATAACAGTGAGTCATAATGGCAGGGCTTACACCCAGGTACTCCGGAGGTCCTGTGGGCCCAGCCATACAGCATTTTGTGATGTGCTCAGGCCAGAGTTCAGAATTCAGAATGGTTCCCGACTGCACCTGCTACAGGGAGAACATGAAAAGTCAGGACTGTTCTGGGCCTCCTGCAGGCGGTTTGGCTTCCGATGACCACTCCCCAAAAGTCCCCTATAGCTTGTTTCTTCCTGCGGAAAATGGGACTTCAATGATTGTCGGTGCGAGTGTTTATTTTCTGCACACTTTGTAGCGTGGCCACATTTCCTCTTTCCAAGCCTCGCTGTAGTGGTTAGATTCCCTGCAGTAGACGAAGCGGTCTCAACCGGTCTGCCCAGGCTGGGGTCCCAAGAAACTGCGGCCTCTACGGGGCAAACTGAACCAGGTAAATCACTTTACAGCCTGGTGGTATACTACTCCGGCAGAGTGAGAGCCACGGCCCCGCCCGCTGGCTAGCGCGGGGGCGGGGCGAGGCCGGGACCGGGGGCGTGACCATCAGGGTGGGCGGGGCCAGAGAAGGCGGAAGCTTACTGTCTCCGGGCGGCGGCAGAACCAGGAGTCAGGATTTCCACGTTCTCCGGAGCGGGGTGCCGGGAGACGGCGGGTGGCAAAACCCGGCGCCCGGAAGCCCTTGCTTTCTTTGACGCAAAGGCTCGGGACGAAGCAGCCGCCGTCTGCCCTGCGCCGGGCTAGGAGCGACCCCAGACGGAGCCTCTGAAGTCCCTCCGCCCCACAGCTTCGGCCGTCCCCGCCGCCGTCCTCGTGGCCATGGAGTGTCCGCACCTCAGCTCCAGCGTCTGCATCGTCCCTGACTCAGCCAAGTTCCCCAACGGCTCCCCGTCGTCCTGGTGCTGCAGCGGTGAGTGCGGCCCCGGGGCTGGCCGGTCGCGCACCCGAGGTCCCGGTTCTGGCCCGGGCCTTGCCGTCGAAGGGCCGCGGGCGGGTGGCGCGCGGCCTCGGGGGAGGCTGCGGGGAGCGGGCCCGGCGCGCTGGGCGAGGGGACACGGCGCGGCGGGCGCGGCGGCGGCTCCTTTGTTTCGCGCGGCCCGACGGCCGGGCCGGCAGAGAAAAGGCCCGCGGGGGCCTGAGGCGAGCGCGCAGCGGCGGGATGACGCGGCGGCCGGCACCCCAAGGCTCCGCGAACCTAAGTGTTGGCCCGGCGTGTGGCTGGCCCGGGCTCGTGGTCCCCCGTGGGCCGGACAGGAAAAGCGCCGCTGTGCGGACGCAGCTTTGTCTGGGCTGCCGGGTGCGCGGGCCCCTTCGGGCTGCGCCCCCCCCCCCCCATCCCCGGGTTCCCACAGGCTCCTGCCCCTCCGCCCACGCAGTCCCCGAGCGGACTGCGCTGGGGGCGGCTCATGTCCGAGTCTTGCCTCAGCCTGAGAGGGTGAAGTTTGAAAACAGGCTGAGGCTCCGAAAGCTAGGGAGAAAGCAGTCAACAGCTGCTTTGGAGGCGGGCAGCTCGAGTTTTTTTTTTTTTTTTTTCCCTTTCGAAGATTGTTCCGAGACAGTTTTTCGGGTTGGTCTGGATTGCATTGGGAACAAGCATACGAGTGCGTGTGCTGTAAGACACTTAGGTTTATGCTATGCTTTGGGGTTGCTTAAGCGTTAACTCTTTCTGCCCCCCTGGAAGCCCCGGTGCCCTCTCATTGTGTGTCCGGACTTTTAGGTCTGACCGGCTACCCCGCTTTGATTACTTCCTGGTAGGGCCCTGGTGCCGACGCTCCTCTTTGTTTATAAGCTTTAAGATCATCATTGGCAGCTTGGGCTGCGGTGTAAAATGGGAATAGTGTACATCAGAAATCAAGTTGGTAGTACGGGTCAGCAGAATGGTTTCTTTTCCTGGGTTAGTTTGGAGCTGGGAAAGTAGTTATAGAGACTGTTTTAATACTTTTGACAGGTCTTCGTCTTCAAAGGTGATTATGTTCTTGAAGCACAACATACGGGGAGGCACAAAGAAAGCTGTCCTCCAGGATGAGGCTTAGAAGTAATGCATTTTTCATGAATTCCCAAGATTTGGTGGTGCCTTGATTACCTTTGTAAAGTCAGGTGTCTTTTTCTGCATGAAGACTTTAAAAATTAACCAGTTAATTGGTTTCACAGGGCAATATTGCAGTTCCTTTGGTGTGTGAGACTGGGTCTCTCTATTAAAGCCCAGAGTGACCTAGAATTCGTAATTTTCCTGCCTCAGCCCTTGGAGTGCTGGGATTATAGGCATGTGCTACCATGCTGGGCCAGTATTGCAGTTCTTTGTGGGAATGCAGGAACTTGTGTAAATAGGCCCCTAGCTGTTAATACATCTTTAACAGTGGATCTTAAGCTTGGAATATAACAAAGGTGTATCACACATGGACTGGTGTGGCCTGTTAGCTAATTAGCTATAGCTGTGGGGCTATCAGAGAATTTCTACACACACACACACACACACACACACACACACACACACAAAAAAGCATACACTTCACAAGGAATGAGGCACTTCCTCTTGTTCATCTGTGGTCAACTACAAGGATTCATTGGTGGGTGCGTCAGCACAACCTGTTTTTTTTTTTTTTTTTCTGTGTAAAATCACATCAAACTTAGAAATGGCTTCATTGTGCATATGCATCTAAAAAAAGACAAGAATTATGCAAGGGGCAGATATCCTGTTGTCAGTTTTGCCTCCATCAGTCAGGGAGTCCACTTAACTGGGGAAGAGAGATGCAGCAAACGCAGCCTCTCCTGAGGAATTCTGTGCATTAAAATGGGGCATAACTGGGAGATTTGTGCTGACAACAGAAACAAATTAGTAATGGAAGGGTGATTTCTGTCAGGAGCAGAGAGGGTGGCATCTTTACAACCTGCAGCAAATGGTTGCCTCTGACCCTGCTTTGGAAGGGTGGGTCTAATCACTTTGTAGGACCAATAAAGCTTGTTTCACAACTCTGTGGGTGTTTTTTTCTGTCCATCCCCATTTCATTTGGGCCTCCCATTTTAACTTTGGCATCCTTTCATTTGTACCTTCAAGTATTACTGTATTAAGCTCGATCTTGTTCTTGCCTGCCTGTAGTTTCAGTAATTAAATGATTGGTAAAACTGTGATCCCTTAACTAACTCCCATCTTGGAGTGTTATGTATTCTGAGTTTTTTTTCTTCAACAGTCTAGAATTTGTTTGTTTTTGGTAGGAGATTAGAAGGGTAACCAGTGTGTTGAAATAATGCTCTGACTGGTATTGAGTCTTATTACACTCTTACTGAGGAGGGAGAAAAATCCCTTTTTGGCACCTGGACAATAAAAGTAATACCCCTGTCTTATTTTCATTGGGAATTTGCAGTTATACCCCAATGATGTAGCCAAACAGATTGCAAAAGACCAGCAGCCCAGACTCTAGTGGGCAGTACCTCCTTGAACTAACACTTCTGATTCCTTAGTGTCAGTTTCATTATGTCATCTGGGACAAGAGCAACACTTTGCATTTACTTCACAAGTCTCTATTAGGATGAGCAAGTGTGTGTGTGTGTGTGTGTGTGTGTGTGTGTGTAAAGTTTGAGAAACTGATGCTTTATGGAGTCTGAGTAATTTATGGTATCACAGACTTGTACATTTTTATAAATAGGATTCTGAAATGTCTAAAGCCTACTAAATGGAGCCCAGACAGATTGGCTTTACTGTGAATTGTTTTACAAGGAGATACAGAACTCAGCAAAATTACGGGATAAGGAGTAATGATACTTAAGAACTAATCTGAGCTTCTTAGCTATGGAAGGCACTGTGTTATGTAATTGTATGCTACAGTACTTCATACAACTTTCTGTTTGCAAGACCCCTTTATAACCCCTTTATAGTCTCAACATTTTCCAGAACCTAGATTATTTGTGTGGCTTTTATCTATTGATACCATCATATTAGGAATTGAAATTAAAACTGTAAATATTTATTTACTAATTTAATTACAATTAACAGTAACATACCTAATAGTTATTAACAGAAAGGACAGTTCATACAAAAAAGTTTTAGAACAGAAATTGAATGGGAAAGTTGTTTCTATATACATATACATACATACATATATATTCCCCCCCAGACAGGGTTTCTCTGTATTGCTTTGGAGCCTCTCCTGGCACTTGCTAACCAGGCTGCCTTGAACTCACAGAGGTCTGTCTGCCTCTGCCTCCTGAGTGTCAGGATTAAAGGCATGCACCACCAACACCTGGCTATGTTTTATATCTATCTTACTGGAAGACAGCTGGATTCTCACATCTGCTTCTGTGTGTAGTCTCTTGAGATATCACCCTTCACAAATTATCTAGAAAACTTCACTTTGTACTTTTGAGAGACCTAAAGGAAACATTCAAAGTAATATAGTAATATCTCCTTCCTTCCTTCCTTCCTTCCTTCCTTCCTTCCTTCCTTCCTTCCTTCCTGTCATCCATGAAAATACCTTTGACCTTCTGAATCCATTGAAAAGGGGACCCCTGAAGTCTTAAGGTTCAAGACCCTACTTTGAGATCTCATAGGTAAAATGGTTAGGGACACCTGCTCTTACGGAACTCAAATTACAAAATTAGAGAAATTCATGAGGCTGGCAATTGGTATCTATTTGTAGAGACTTGGAGTTTAAAATACATGGAGTCTGGTGGTCCCTTGCTTTCAAAGAGGTTAGTCTACTCAGTTGGAAAGTCAGGAAGCTCTCCGGTTAGAAGATAAAAATCCATGCAGTGGCTTAAGGTAAATGTTGAAAATAGCAATCTCCTAATAAGGTAAAACCTGATTTATGCCCAATTGTGGCTAAGGGCATTCTAGTTTTAAATTACAAAAGTTTAAATGAAAACCGGGTCAATCTCTCAAGCCTTGTGTTATGTGCTCATACCAGATGTTATTTTCAGAAGCTAGAGGCTTGGGTCTTCCTTATTTTTGTAGGTGAAAAGTTTAACCAGTGACAAAAGACAGGGACAAAACAAGAAAGAAGTACTTACCAAGGCTGTAGTGGTGGAAGCCCAGCAGAGATTTGTCTTTAATCCCAGCAGGAGACAGAGGCAGAGGGATGGATCTTTGTGAGTTCGAGACACCAAAGCAACATAGAGAAACCCTGTCTTGGAAAAACAAAACAGAACAAACAAACAAAAACCAAACAAAACAAAAACATGAAGTGCTCAAAACAAAAAACAACCCCCCCCCAAAAAAAGCTACCTTAAACACAACTGTTTTAAACTAAAGAAAGCCAAGTCCCTGGATTTTAGGTTTTTAAAGTACTGTTGATTTGCAGCTGTTGGTGTAAAAGTCATGAGAATTTCTTCCTGATGAATTCTTCAAAGAGTTGAAGGAGCTCTAAATTTCCAGTACACCCTTACCTTTATATCACTCTATTCAAGAAAAAGAGGTGGTTGTCTTTGTGTTTGAAGGGTTATTGGTGATAAACCTTTATATTTTCTTTTTTAAAGGTGAGGTGCTGACTGGCTGTCTGTGGTAATAAATTTGCAGTGGACTGATAAGTTTGTGATAAAGGTTAAGAAGTCACCTTGATGGAGTGATGAGTTATTTTGTATCCTATTTCTCTCAGCCTACTTTTAAAGAAGACTAATTTGTCCCTTGAACTAAATTCTCTAATATATCTAATATAATCTCTTCCCAGATTATTAGCCAGTAAGCTGAGCTACATTGTAATGTAGATGTAATAAATTGGCATTTATTCTTGTTAACATAACAATTTGTAGTCTTCCGACTATATGAGCATATAGATAGGCAGATGGAAATGTTAGTTGTCAATGATAGGGTCATTTAAATCAGTTCGTAGGTGATACTCTTTATATTATATTGATATTTGAAGGTTAGTATTTGAACTTTGTGTATTGTACTTTTGAAGGATTTCAAGTATCTTTTAG